CCAAGTTGCTGGCATGCACCCTTCCACACCGTAACGTCATCTTCAGCTCCTCAGTAAACGTCGTTGTTATTACAAATCACAGTTTTTTTTTTATCATCGCATGGTGATAATAACAATAACACAATACAGCTATTCCTCGTTTATCGCGGTTGATGCGTTCCTGACAAGTGCCACGTTAAGCGAGGAATTGCGTTATAAAAATCAGCCCGCAGTCATCCCGTGGCGGGACAAAGAAGTGAGATGAAGGTACGCCGCCACGTTACTGTATCATTCCGCGTTACTCTATCACCATTCCGTTCAGCCGCGCAGCTCTAGAAAGTAGTTTGTTGTCGACTGCTGAGAAAGTGATATAACGGTGCACGGGTTTCACGTTATAACGGTGGGTGCGTTCCGCATTATAGCGGTGCGCGTTCCGCATTACAATGGCACGCGCGTCATGCGTAGCGCGAAAAGTGTCCCCCTCATAGAAAAACCGCATTAAAGCGAAGTCGCGTTATAGTGTGAACACCGGCGCAGCGTTAAGCGAGGAACTACCGCATACGCAAACAAAGCGGATGTGGAAGGATTGGCAGACTGCGTCACAATAGGCAGGAACAATTGCAGGCAGGAAAACCTCGTTGCTGTATGGGCCCTTTCCCCCAAAATTGTTAAGTTTCGTTTGAAATAATAATAATAAACACACAGATGCCACAGGGTGTGCCCAATTGGCAGTGCTTCTCTCCCTGCCAATTTATTGGTAGGCTGCTTCAATCCCGAGTCCTTGAATGTGCTACAAACACACGTACATATTTTCGACGACCCGGCCGCAACACACGGCTCTACTTCTTGACTGTGCGTTTAGTTTGTTGTCATCCCCCCCCCCCCGGCACCTCTCAATTAACGTGGTTGGCTACGTATGTACGGTGGCGAAAGACGTTCAACATACATATATACATAAACACACATTCGACCGCATTAATTTCCCGATTTGTAAACTCTGGAAGACAAAAGTCACCTGGGCTCACGTGAAAGAGCTACACAGAAGCCGATCCCAAGAGGATTCTAGAGCCACCAAGGCAGCAGCCAACAAGACTAATTAAGTGGCACTAAAGTACGTTATGTAACTGCTACCTGTCAAGCAACTACAGCCTAAACTTTGTGCTGGTGCTCAGACAAACTCGACAGCTGCTGCCTGGAGGAATGGCTCCACGCCATGATTATTATGATTACCGGGGCTGCCTACAGTGAAGCTAAGCTGGCATGTACAAAAGTCCCCTAAAACCTAATCTGACTGGCACAAAGGAAAGCACACGGCGCAACAGCGATGACTGACCTCTAAAAGCCCATCACCTTGACATCGATCCAAACTAGGCAGCAGCGTCCGCCAACAGACTTTCCATCAAGCTTTTACGAGGCAGCGAAGCGATTCGCACCTCTAGGCCTCACCTACAGGGCAGCAGACAAACTGAACGGACAAGAAATACTTTTCAACCCCCGATTGACAAATACAGACGACGCAGCTGCTTCCAGGCGACATTCAATATCAACCCATGCTACTGGCACCTGGCAGCCCCATGCATGCATCCTACTACTATCTTTAAGGGCCATTAACCCGAGGTAACTCTTGCAGCAGCAGGGATGACAGCTGCTGGTCAAGACCGGTGACGGAATGATAGCCAAAGGAGAAAATGCATCTAAGAGGACACCCACTGCAGAGAAGCAGCAAAGATTATCACCTTGAACCGGAGTGAGATAGACTACAGCTGATGGCAGAAAGGCGAGCAGTGCACATAGCGCTAGTGAAGCCATTTAAACTTAAATCTTCCTGTCGACAAGTCCTCTTGCACCACAAATTATGGGCGTCGTGAACTGCTTTTGCCAACCGTGCTAATCCGAGGTGATCACGCAGACCATAGGGGGCTATGTGGCCCATACTTCACCAAACCTGGTCAGTGCGGGTTGGGTGAAGGCAGGCGGCATAGGAGGACGCGAGAGCATACGAGTAAAGACCTACACAAATGGAGCTTGCTGCAGCTCGGCACAGATTGTTTTGCCCGCCACATAACGCCACAGCCTAGGACGACCTGATATGCACGTCGATTGCCCATCCAAGCACTAAGCAGGCTCAAACACCCTGCACAGCTTCCGACATTTGACTGGGTCTGGGCACAATCCGAGTGCTTTGGTCACAGGCAAACCGGGCAGATGGATGACAGGAGAACATTCAACCTCACTGTGTGTGTGTGCGTGTGTAAACGGAGACCTTTAAATCAGATTTAAAATTCATTCCCTGCAGCAGGCGAACCAAACTCAAGGACACCCCAATGCATGTATAAAAATCACCACCGCCACTAAAAGTACATACAGGCGCATGCACCCAGTCACACGTACAAAGAGTCCCCATGCAGCCTAACACGCGAGGGGGCAAGTGCAATACTGTTATATTGTCCAGCACCTTTTAAACGCCTGGACGGCACACGAGGTGGGATGGGTGAGTGGGTGGATGGGTGCGTGGATGGGTGGATGCGTGGGTGGGTGAATGGGTGGGTGAGTGGGTGGGTGAGTGAGTGGGTGGATGTGTGGGTTGGGTGAGAGGGTGGGTGAGTGGGTGAGTTAATGGGTGGGTGAGTGGGTGGGTGTGTGGGTTGGGTGAGTCGGTGGGTGAGTGGAAGGGTGAGTGGGTGAGTGGGTGGGTGAGTGGGTGAGTGGGTGGGTGAGTGGGTGGGTGAGTGGGTGAGTGAGTGGAACGACCCCGGGTGGCCTTTCATCTCTCCCAAGTGCTGGATTTACACGCCCCCCCCCCAACCCCCTGGTACTAATCTAAGGCTGAGCGGACCTAGATGACCATGCAGCACCGGACCAGATATCGCACTCGCAACTTCGTTATCCGTGGACTGCAATATGAATGCCGGGGTCGCCGGGTGCACAGAAACCGCGGTGTCAACTCTGCCCACAACAAATATTACCACAAAGTGTACACACAAACACGACCAAGGAGACAGGCCCCAGTTCAGATTTAAATCACTGATATTGGGACCGCGAGCGGGGAATAGAATCCGGCTTGCCGGGTTCATGGCACAGCTGATAACCACCATCGCTTCCCCATAACCCTACACGCACACAAAGACAAAAGATCCCCCCCTCCTGTATAGGCTGTAACAGACTGTTGGGGCAAGTGCTGTTAGCGAGCACCTATGAAAGCCGGCACGGCACACGAGGGGGTGGGTGGCCTGCACCACGCCCGGCCGCATTTGTCTCCCAAGTGGCGATGTTTACTACACACCGCACCAGGTATTCCCCCACTACACACACTCAAGTGGCACATGCTTACACACACACGATGACACACACTCACACACACAGGGACACACAGTGACACACACACACACTCACAGTGACACACACAAAGACAACCTACAACCGCCATTCGCCACTAAGTGGCGGTGACGTCACCACGACGCTTGTGCCAGGCCATGTGCACCTTGAGGCCACGTGAAGTGTCGAACGCCCGCTGGCAGGAGGTCACGGGGCAGACCCAGGTGCCACGGGTCGAATGAGATGACTGGCTGATGCACCACCTGTGCCCCCTACTGTGTCAACCTGCTTGTGCTTTAGCCAACCGGCGCTCCACTCGTTGTTGTGAGCGTCGCTCCTCCGCCCTCCTTTGTTGTTGGAGGGCGACTGCCTCCAACTGCCCAGTAGCATCCTTCACGAGTCTCCTCCACAGAGGCCGATCTTGACACCGCTGGTACCAGTCATCGGCAAGTCCACTCAGCTCCACGTCCTCCTGTACCACATCACTCCATCTCTTCTCTAGCCCGTGCCGCGCCCGTTTAGCCCCCTCGATCCAGCCGAACAAAAGCTGTTTCGGCATGCGGTGGCTGGGCATGCGGGCTACATGACCCAGCCAACGCAGCTTTGCCTGCCCGAGGAGCTCACCGATGGGACCTTGCCCAGATCTTTCAATGATTCGTGAGCTCCTCACACAATCCAGCCTGGTTAAACCCAAGATGGATCGTAGGCAGGCTAGCCTAAATGTTTCCAAACGGCGAAGATGCTCCATTAAGGGGGTCCACGTTTCGCAAGCGTAGAGAAGGAAGGGAATGACCGTGGCCGAGAAGACCTGAAGCTTAGTGCGGAGCGACAGACCAGGTAGCTTCCACACAGCGTTACGCAACCGATGAAAATATATTGCCGCTCGACTGATTCGGAGTGAGACCTCTCACACTGACACACACTGACACACACACTGACACACTTACACTGACTCACTGACACACTGACACACACACACTGACACACACACACTGACACACTGACACTGACTCACTGATACACACACACTGACACACACACACTGACACACACACACTGACACACTCACACGGTGACATTGGCACACACACTGACACACTCACTGACACACTGACACACTCACTGACACTGACACACTCACTGACACTGACACACTCACTGACACTGACACACTCACTGACACACTCACACACTGACACACTCACTGACACACTCACTGACACACACACACTGACACACACACACTGACACACTCACTGACACACTCACTGACACACTCACTGACACACTCACTGACACTCACACTGTGACATTGACACATACTAAGCGCCGCTCCTGCTTGCCGGTACGACTCGCACAGGCCACACCAAGCCGCATCGGCAGACGCGCGCGCGCACGAACATCTATCTCCATATAAACGCAACACAAATCTTAATGCAACGGCAGAGACATCACCGAACACAACAGTTGTCAGTCACCACACACAGACAAACACGAACAAACACACAAACATCACGGTTTAGCAGAGCCGTCGTAATGACCTCTCTCCAACCCTCACAGGGACGCGGCTCTGAGGCACTGCCAAACTCTCCCCTCAACACAGAGGGCGAGAGAGAGGTTTCTTTAAAAAAAAAGAGTAGCGAGTTTAAACTCTTTTTGCTTGTTGTTGTTGGTGTTGTTGTTGATGATGTTGTTGTTGTTGTTACCTTAGCGCCACTTTGAAACGCTCCTCTGCCGGCAACGCAAGTCGCGACCTGCCTCAGCACAGCTGCCGCCATCTTCCAGGGCTGGAGGCTTGTGGGAGGATTTCGTTTTTGTGGACGATCTTCTAGAATCGGTAGACGAGGTGATTCTCATTCTAGAAGAGGTAGACGAGGTGATTCTCATTCTAGAAGAGGTCGAGAGATTCTGGAAGAGGTAGCGAAATTCTTGTGGAGAGGATTTCGTTTCTGTTGATTCGCACGATGATCTTCTAGAATCGGTAGATGAGGTGATTCTCATTCCAGAAGAGGTGGAGTTTCTTCTACATCATCCTAAAGTAGAGATTCCAGAAGAGGTAGAGGTATTCTGGAAGAGCTAGCGAGATTCTTGTGGAGAGGATTTCGTTTCTTTTCATTCGCACGACGATCTTCTAGAATCGGTAGACGAGGTGATTCTCATTCCAGAAGAGGTGGAGGTCGTAGGTCGCCCTTATACATTTCTGTTTCATATAAGAATTTAAGCTTTCGTGACTGCATAAATTACTATACTCATTGGGTTTTTTTCGATAAAGTCACGTATGTAGAAAATTATATTAAAATAATAAATCACAACGTTTCGAACGTAACACAAGCGATCATCATCAGGTGTAAAGCAAATAGTGAGGTAGCACATAAGGGGACATCACGTACGTAGCACATAGAGAACTTTAAACTGTACGGGAGGCAAATACAATAACAAGAAGATGAGAGACGAGAAACTCAACAAACCTAAGAAAAATAACGTGATGCAAAACCCGTCAGGCCAACAACAACAACAACAGTCTCTATCCGTCATCCCTACAGTCCTTTTTTTGTCTCTTGGTGTGGTGTTACTCTGGTTGTCCATCTGTGCTGCCCAATATATCTTCTTTCCTTGGATGTTCTTCCCCATGTATGTATCTCTGCTACCCTGGTTTGTTCAACCCAGAGGATGAACACGAAATTTAGCAGTCTTCTGAAATTCGTGGTTAACCAGGTCAGTGTCTAACTGCTGTTGTTGTTGTTGTTGGCCTGACTGGTTTTGCATCACGTTATTTTTCTTAGGTTTGTTGAGTTTCTCGTCTCTCATCTTCTTGTTATTGTGTTTGCCTCCCGTACAGTTTAAAGTTTTCTATGTGCTACGTACGTGATATCCCCCTATGTGCTCCCTCACTATTTGTTTTACACCTGATGATGATCGCTTGTGTTGCGTTCAAAGCGTCGTGATTTATTATTTTAATATAATTTTCTACATACGTGACTTTACCGAAAAAAACAATGAGTATTTCGGTTTCAGTTAATTTATTTTGGTATAGCCCTGTGAGCCATTCGGCTCTTGAATCGGGTGCAACCACAACAAACAAAAAAACTAAAACACGAACAATAAAAAAACATCTTAAAGTGACTATGTGTGACTGTGCATCATCCTAAAGCAGAGATTCTTGACTTAAAACTTTGGTGACTGCAGGTTATTCATATTCTTTGGTTCTTTCGGTGAAGTCACGTAGATATAAAAAAATATATAATAAAGTTAATGAAATCAAAATAAAATAAATAATACAAAACTTTTTTATATAAAGAATAACTTTTTTATTTTAATTTTATTAACTTATTCTTTCGGTAAAATAAATAAAATACAAATATTGTAAAAAAAAAATTATCCACTTTATTTTTTTCTCATTCTACGTGATATTACCGAAAGACCCAACCAAAGAAAAACAAAGATTATTATTATTCCAGAAGAGGTAGAAGAGTTAAGAATCTCTCCACCACTTCCAGAATAAGAATCCTTCTACATTATGATCATAAAGCAGAAGGATTCTCATTCCGGAGGACGGTAGAGGGGATTGTTGTGGAAGGATTTCGTTTGTAAACTTGATTGGAAGCTTTCGTGACTGCAGGAATTACTCTTTGGTTCTTTCGGTAAAATGTGTCTATGTTGCGTGTTTCTTTATCTGTGTGTCTCTCTGTGTCTCTGTGTTGTCTCTCTCTCTGCTTGTGTGTCTGTCTGTGTGTCTCCGTGTCTGTGTTTGTCTCTCAAATTTAGTTCTACCTGATGACGGTTGCTTGTGTTGCAATCAAAACGTCGTACTCTATTATTTAATTACTTTTTCTTTCTACGTGACTTTACAGAAAGAACCAAAGAGTGATTTTGTTTTTCTAAATTCGCCCGACGATCTTCTCGAATTTTATTCCGGAGAGAATCTGATTCCGGAAGAGGTAGATGGAGTAAGACTCGATTTGTAGGATACACATTCCTGCGGAGGGAGCTGGTAGGAACGTTGGGTTGCTCGGTCAATGGCCAGGGTCAACGGCGGCACCACGTGGTGTGTTCCGCACAATATGCCCGACTGTGAGGGCGGGCACAAGCCGGCGTGAGTAGGTTAAACGTTGAGTTTTATAAGGGCACCACGGGGTGACCAGCCCCTCCCCACCCAGCCCCACCCCTCCCACCCCCCACCCAGCCCCTCCCCACCCTCCCCTCCCCACCCAGCCCCACCCTCCCCACCCAGCCCCTCCCTCCCCACCCAGCCCCTCCCCACCCTCCCCTCCCCACCCAGCTCCACCCTCCCCACCCAGCCCCTCCCCACCCAGCCCCTCCCCACCCTCCCTTATCCACCCAGCCCCACCCCTCCCATTTTTGGATGCACGACGGACGGACACAATAATCCCCTGTGGGCTGGTGGTGTAACCAGGAGGTTCCTACCAGTATAACTTTTAGATTTATAAGGGGCATGGGGTGACCAATAAGGTCTGAATTGGTCTGTAATAAGGTAGGGCGCTGATAAGGGGTTGACAGGTAAGTATATATAAAACCAACATATATTACAATCAGAATCTTTATTTAGACTGGAGGAATTTTAGGTTACGTTGAGTTTTTTTTATGTTTCCTGAGTGATGGAATGTTTGTTTTCTGAGTGATCTTAAAACCTTACGGAAGCAGTAGATTGCTACAAGGCACTTGTCCTCTTCATAGTGATTCAGTAATGTTGTGTACTCTTTGGTTTTTTCGATAAAGTCACGTAGGTAAAATAAAATAAATGAAAACAACTAAATTGAAATTGAGCAACCATTGGAAAGATGTCATCAACCAAGTCAAACTTTAGCTGCCTTATAATTGTACAGCCATTTCCATTTCTACCAGTGGTAGAAATGCAGCATAACAAAAAGCGGCTTAACTTAGCCCCTCCCCCTCCCAAGCACGTCACTTCCTGGCTCCTCCCCCCCCTTAACCTGTATATAATCCCTTGTGTCCCAGAGCTGTTCACTTGATACAGCTATTTTGCTGTGACTGTTCCACCTGAAGACGGAAGCTCGTGTTGCCTCCGAAACGTCGTGATTTTAATTTAGCTGTTTTCATTTATAAGAGTATGAATCCTTGCGATCACGAAAGCTTCGAATCTAGAATTCATGTTGTGTAGTTTCACGTTAATAAGGATATATATTGTGTAGAAACGAAAGTGGAATGTGTCTTACAGCTCGGTTAAATCCCCTTAAACAGTGCAAGCGAGCTATTGTCTTGATTTATTTTGTTTTAAATTACCAAGTCTAAAAGCTAAACACATTTTTTTTATTTATTGAAATAGCGAGTTGTGTTTAACTAGAGACGAAAACTAATATCTTCCAACGCGTTAGCTTTAATTCTTTTTTTTAAACTAACTCACCGTATTCCTATTCCGGAAGATATTTCGATGCTGTGGTTGTCCCACTTGATGACGATTGCTTGTGTTGCGATCGACACGTCGTGATCTATTATGTTTCTACCTTCCTGCCTTTGGGCCGTCCATAAATGACGTCACGCGACTTTGGTTGATTTTTTACCCCCCCCCCCTTCGTCACACGGCGTCACAAAAAGTCAGACCCCCCTCAAATATGACGTCACAAAGTTCTGCCCCCCCCAAAAAAAATTCAAACATGCTTCAAATCGCTTTAAACTATTGTCATTGTATTGCGTATTTAATGTGTCGCTGCACTCTGATGTTGTAGGAGAAAACATTTATTAAAACGTCTTTAATTAAGTAGAAAGTGTTATCTATATGTATTTATAAAGTTGCGCATTTTGATGTGACGTCACATTTCTCACCCACCCCTCTCCTCTCGTCACACATCGTCACAAATGTCTGACCCCCCCCCCTAGGTGCGTGACGTCATTTATGGACGGCCCCTTTACCAATAGAACCAAAGAGTACAATATATATTCTTAGCTCTTTCGGTAAAGTCACGTTGAAGGGAAACAATAAAATAATAAAATATAAATAAAACAATAAAAATTCTCACGACGTTTCGACCATAACACAAACGGTCGTCATCAGGTGTGAAAACCAACGGCAAGAAACATTTGAAAGAAGTGGCGGTCCGTATATATTTATGAATAAAACGGTGTGTTTATTTATTTCTTTTTAAACGTCAGCGCCACGCGCAGCGATTTGGCAGTTTATTTAGAAGGACTAGTCCATCTATGTTCTGAAAAGAGGAGGGGGGAGACGAAAAATTAATGTATGCCGTCTGAAAGCCACTGTAAGCGTGAACAATCAATTAAGACCTGAAATGGTTTATCAAATCTTTCCAATGATTGCTAAGCCAGAATCCATCTTCTTGGTTGAAATTGTCTCTGTGCTTGTATATGTGGATAGCCTCATGAACGAATCTCTCATGGTAGCCAGATGGCTTACAAAGAACCTCTGTCTTGGAAAAGTCAATGTCATGTGAGCCTACTGAATTATAACAATGATCTGCCACGGCCGAGGTGTTGGTCCTACCGTGTTTAAGGTCTGCTTTGTGTTCACGAATGTGGTCCGAGACATGGCGTTTGGTTTCTCCAATGTAACTACTACCACAGAGGCAACTTAGTTTGTAGACACCAGGGTACTGTATGTCCGGAATCACATCTTTTACAGACGGAACCAGATCACGGATTTTATGTAATGTGTTGAAACGGACCTGGATCTTGTGTTTATTCAAGATTTTGGAGATCTTTTTTTGTGATCCCCGCAATGTAGGGTAAAGTGATGGTTTTGAATGGCTCCTCAACAGGGTCCTTCTTCATGGTTTCAGTGATAGCTTTGCGGATTTTATAGTACAATATATATTTTCGGAACTTTCTTTATTTATTCCGGAAGATTCCACCGCCGAATTTGTGTTTTTTACATCTTCCGGAAGACGATCGCCCCTCCCCACCCCCAGCCAAAGCGATAGGAGACGCAACGAGCGTCTACCGGTTTCGGCAGAGAGAGAGGAGCGATTTGAATTCCCAGTCTGAACGCGCCCGATGGTGACCCGGCAAAGACGTCTCGTGAGGACGAGAGGCGCCCAAGTTCCCCGCGCCAGCGGTGGGGGCTTCACTTGGACGCCGTCGGTTTAAAGATCCACGGGGTGGGGGGTGGTAGGGGGGGGGGTGGGTGGTATGGGGGGGGGGTGGTGGGTGGTAGGGGGGGTGCTAGGGGGTGTGATGGTGGGTGGTAGGGGGGGTGGTGGGTGGTATGGGGGGGGTGGTAGGGGGGGGTGGTAGGGGGGGGTGGTGGGTGCTAGTGGGGGGGGGGGGAGGTGGTGGGGGGGTGGTGGGTGGTAGGGGGGGTGGTAGGGGGGTAGTGGGTGCTAGGGGGGGGGGTGGTAGGGGGGGTGGTGGGTGCTAGTGGGGGGTGGGTGGTAGGTGGTAGGGGGGGGTGCTAGGGGGTGTGGTGGTGGGTGGTAGGGGGGGTGGTAGGGGGGGTGGTGGGTGGTATGGGGGGGGGTGGTGGGTGGTATGGGGGGGTGGTATGGGGGGGTGGTATGGGGGGGTGGTATGGGGGGGTGGTAGGGGGGGGTGGTAGGGGTGGGTGGTACAGGGGGGTGTAAGGAGAGCGATAGTGTAGTGGTTAGCGCTACGCTGCGCTATGAACCTGGCGACCCGGGTTCGATTCCCGCTCACGGCCAACACCAGTGACGATTATCTGAACCGGTCCTTGGCCTCCTCTAGGTCGACTCAGCCTCAAATGAGTTACCTGGTGCGGTGTGTAAACATTGCCACTAGGGAGACAAAGGCGGTCGGGCGTGGTGCTGGCCACCCCACCCCCTCGTGTACCGTTCCGGCCTTCATAGGTGCTCGCTAACAGCACTTGCCCCTACAGTCTGTTAAGGCTATATGGGGGATCTTTGTCTTTTTGTAAGGGCAAGCCGCGCGGTTTGGAGTTCGCTGCGTGTTCACTTCCCTAGCCTACTCGCTCGGAACGTCGCTCGCTCGATCGCTCGGTGTCTACCCGCCTCGAGCTCCTCTGTCGCTACTGCTGTCAACCACCGCGAACGTCGCTGGTGCGTTCGAACTTCTTTCGCACCGTACGTGGCGAGATGTTACCTCCCTCGCCTGGTATACAAGGAGGTCGTGGGTTCAAGTCCTGGGCCCTGACGCCTGCTGCTGCTGTATATTTGGAGTCTGCGTGTCTCTTTCTCTCATCATCACGGTGGCTAGGAGATGTTAACTACCTCGCCTGGTGTACAGGAGGTCGTGGGCTCGATCCCGACCCTGACGCCTGCTGCTGTATATTTGGAGTTTGCGTGTCTCTCATCATCATCATCACGGTGGCTAGGAGATGTTTACTACCTCGCCTGGTATACAGGAGGTCGTGGGTTCCATCCCGACCCTGACGCCTGCTGCTGCTGTATATTTGGAGTTTGCGTGTCTCTCTCATCATCATCATCACGGTGGCTAGGAGATGTTAACTACCTCGCCTGGTGTACAGGAGGTCGTGGGTTCGATCCCGACCCTGACGCCTGCTGCAGCTGTATATTTGGAGTTTGCGTGTCTCTCCCTCTCTCTCTCGTGGCCCTCCGGGTTTCCCCACCACATTTAGAATCACGAGTTCAGAGTATCTGGCTGCTGTACATTTGCACGTGACGACGACGATCAGCCACTTCGTTGAGTTATCGTTTGTGATTGCCAGGTCGCTTTTGAGAAAGCCCTCTTCAGCTCAGTGGGCCCTACCTGGTCAACTAAAAAAAGGGGCCGTCCATAAATGACGTCACGCACCTAGGGGGGGGGGGGGGTGGTCAGACATTTGTGACGTGATGTGACGACGGGGGGGGGGGGGGTGTTAATTACCTCGCCTGGTATGCAGGAGGTCGTGGGTTCGATCCCGACCCTAACGCATGTATATTTGCAGTTAACGCGTCTGTGGTCGCGTGGATTCATCTCCGCTTTTTCCTTCCGTGCTCTTAAAGAGTATTTGGCTGTGATAAGCCACTTCGCTGAGCTATCGTTTATGGAAAGGTCGTTTCTGAAAAAAAGAGCTGTGTAGCTCTGTGGGTCTTATCTGGTCAATGTTTTTTTTATGTCTTTAAATTGTATTATTTCTTCATTCCAGGCTGCACTGCGGTGTTGCTGGCAATTCTCCCAAGTGTTCCCCAGCCCTACGCCAACACCATTTCACCGGTCAACGCTTCATTTTTGTTAAGCGTCCGAATAAGTTAACCTTGCTGTTTAGCTTTAAAAACCAAATCATGCTTGCACACCACTGTCAAACGCAATTCCTTTACCTTGTTGTGATTTGGCTGCGTCGGAATCGACACGCGCATTAGATTGTCTCTGATTCTTTTGCAGGGCCTTTCATTTGACCTTGCAGCAATGGACAGCTGCTGTTTGGTTCTGTGGCCGTGAGCTTGAATTGCACAGCGCAGCAACTTTTAATCATAGCGTGGGCGAGCACCCACTGAGCATGCGCCGAACACATGTTTATGGTTCTTGGGGTTCGGCAGGAATGCCTGGGGCCACATCTGAGCCAAATTGAGCCACCAGGTCACAAGGTTAAACAACAATCATTCAACCTGTTAAATACTGTGTCAAAATCAAACACCTTTCTGAGTACCGTTATGCATTGTATTTCTCTAATGAGTAAAAGCGGTATTTGTACCTTTAAAGTTAGTTTTTAGAATGTTGTGAATAGGAATCAATGTTTCCCCCAATTGTATCCCGATTATAGCATTGGTGGTCATGCCATGCGACGGTGTACCCGTTCGGATCTCTCGCTGAGTGGGGCAACCCTTTTGTGGTGGCGAACAGCCCACGGAAGTTGATATCACAGAGCTACCTCCGAGGTCCAACAGCCATTCTCACGGTAATCTCGTCTCCTTCCGCTTGCGTATATAGCGCGGCAAAGAATGTTCCCACCTGTAACGTGGTCCGTGTGTTATTTTGTCCAGACTGATGGCCTAAATCTAAGTTGTCTTGTGGCTCACATTCTTGGTTCTTTCGGTAAAGTCACGTAGAAGGGAAACAATAAAATAATAAAAATATAAAACAATAAAATTCTCACGACGTTTCGACTGCAACACAAGCAATCATCATCAGGTGTGAAAACCACAGCATGAAAATTTGAAAAAAGTTTTATATTTTTATTATTTTATTGTTTCCCTTCTATGTGACTTTACCGAAAGAACCAAGAATATGAATCCCTGCAGTCACGAAAGCTTTAAATAAAAATTTGTCTTGTGGTTGTTGTTGTTTGACTTGCATTCTACTGGGATTTTTTGCACACAGCATTAGTGTACGGTGCTTTTTCTGGAATATTTTGCTGTTTTTTCCTGGATTTTCTGTTTGCACAGTCACATAGTCACTTTAAGATGTTTTTCTTGTTCATGTTTTTGTTTGTTGCGGTTGCACCCGATTCAAGAGCCGAATGGCTCACAGGGCTATACCAAATAAATGAAACTGAAAAAAATGTGTGCTGCTGAAACTAAGGGTTAGGTTCGCTGCTGAGACGCTGCTGATTTTGTACACTCCCGGAAGGCTATGCGGCTGTGTAAGGGATACTTCAATGTTTTTTTTTTGTGTGGACAGACGGATATGAGAAAGAAGCATATTATTGCCTGCTCTTTTTGTCATTTATATTCCCCGCAATCATGCCCATGATTATTTCGAGTTTTTATTTGTGCATGGTGTCACTCTAATTTTCTATAGATGTTTACATATCTGACCTTTTCACGTAGCCACCTATATCTCGGTCTCAGATTAGTCCAATATGCGACGTTCAGCTCTGTATGCAGTTTTTAAACTTTGAATCTGTCTGTGTGTTTGGGGAGCAGTGCTGGGTCCCCCCTATGTCGACTCAGCCTCAAATGAGTGCCTGGTGCAATGTGTAAACATCGCCGCTGGGGAGACAAAGGCGGCCGGGCGTGGTGCTGGTCACCCACCGCCTCGCGTGCCGTGCCGGCCGTCGTAGGTGCTCGCTAACAGCACTTGCTCCAACAGTCTGTTAAGGCTATACGGGGGATCTTTGTCTTTGTGTGTTTCTCTTTCCAGGACGTAAGAACGCCGAGTTGTGCAGAGTTGAGACGCCGGGGGAAACGGACCGCGCTTGCGATCGCGATGTCGGCGATTCTCACCTCAACTTCTCAGCGCTGTCTTGGCTCTTTCTCCCGCCTCGTGAACAATCCCGCAGCGTGCAAGCGTCTGTGAGTTCAAGAATCCTCAGTGGGCTGCGTTAGGCCATCTGATGTATTTTTCAGTTTGAAATGTGGTGCATTGCCCTTTGATCAAATTAAAATCGTTATTTATACAGGAGGAATCCGATGAGTTATAAAGCTCTTACTCTTCGGTAAAGTCACGTAGGTAAAATAAAATAAATGAAAACTGAATTAAATCACGACGTTTCGGAGGCAACACAAGCTTCGGTCTTCAGGTGGAACAGTCACAGCAAAATTAGCTGTATCAAGTGAACAGCTCTGGGACACAGATGTCCAGTCGGGGCGGGTAAGAACGTTACAACAACAAACAGTACACAACAACACGTGATAGGGTTGCAAAGTATAAGAAAGGTAAACAATCGCCCAAACACAAACAAATACAACTAAACCATCCCCATCCTACCAGGCCAAAGCCCACTGAGATGTTAACTTATTTTTCAGAAGCGACCTGGCCACAAATGATAGCTCAACAAAGTGGCTTATCACGTGGAAATTTATTGCAGCAAAATCATCTCAATGCATGTTTCAAAATGTGGAGGTGGAGATAGTGGCTGTGGATAGTGCTTGGAATGGGTGACCACCGTGCATTACGCAGATTGTGAGCCTCTGCTGTGGTGCCACCTGGTGGGCAGAAGTCGTACACAGCAGCCGAAATCAATTGCACTGAAAACGCTACCACGTCTGTGGCTCGCTGGCTTCAACCCACACTGACAAGCATGGTGAAGTACGGTCATCTGTCCTAAGCACTCGTCCAGGCTCCGTCCACCTTAGCTACTGATATCCGGGGAGATGGATCGCGTGCATACTCGGTGAAAGGTTTAACGTCTGCGTGTGGACACTACGATTGCAGGCAGTACAGCAAAATACATTGTTGTACTGTGATTCTACGCTCCCACCGACCCACACTGACCAGCTTGACGAAGTATGGTTAAATACCCTCCCCTCCCCCACCACGACCCACACAGTGTGTGGGGTGACGCTCATCCAACATTGGATTGACAAAAAAAAACAGCTGTACATGTACAATGGGAAGTAAAATGGTCAAAAATATGGGTAGACTGGTTCCCACCATGGTAATGTGTAATTTTCACCACTGGCTTTGCACTGCCAGCATACGTGACCAACTGCCGCATTGCTCGTTGGAGGATGGAGAGACACCGAAAGTTTTTGATGGAAGCTTGCATGGCACAGGAGGCCACGACACTAATTTTAGGTCCAACTCAACAAACGGGAGCGCCAGATTTGGATACCATTTGGCACCGCCGTTATGCATCGTTGCCAGGAGTATAACCCTGGACACTGTCTCGACACTGCCATACGAGGATCCTGTGCCCTCTTTACCCAGTTCGTTGGTGTGACTTGCTGATTTACGCCATACTTGGACACCTGTGAATTAAAGGGCTTTCATAGCTCGTCGGATTCCTCCAGTCAGTCTGAATAACGATTCCGATTCGGGGTTCATGCCGTCTATTTACCAAACAACTTTTGTTATTGTTTGGCGTAGAGTCACAGCGTACCGTCAATGTGTGTGGTTGCGCCTAGGAGGCCAGGGCCGAGCCGACCCTTGACAAGCGCCGTCTCTGCCGACCACCACCACCACCACGAGCGCCGCCCCGGTGTGGGCGTGATGGTCGTGGTGCATAGCCCCCTGCGCCCCGGCTGCGTACTGCTGGGACGCCGCAAGACCGGCCTTGGCGCCGGCCTCTACCAGCTGCCTGGCGGATACCTGGAGTTTGGGTAACGGAGCGGCGTTCGGACCCCGCGAGTTGGGGTCCGAATACATAAACTCGTTACGTACGTGAAATATTTTTGTTTAGAACTGCTTTTTGTGTTTAGTTTGTTGTTCTTCCCCCACACCTCCGATTAGCACGGTTGGCTACGTACGGTGCAAAATAAGTTCAGCATACATACATCGTGGCCATACAGCCCAATCTCTGAACCCCATATTGTAAACCATTGTAGTCTGTGTTCCTTCATCGTAGGAGGAACAGCAAAACTACATGAACTCTCTATCCTGAAGCCCTCCCGTTGCGGTTAGGAGACATCGACGTTGGCATTTAGCTCCCGAACATATTGCTGCTATCATATGCAACAATAGAGTTTGAATGGCTTGTGGGTGTCTGTGTTATCAGCGTTTTACGGAAGCATATGGGATGCTTATAGTTGTACCGGGGAGTTGTCCGTCAGTCCGTCCGTCTCCGGAGACTTCTCATGTTCATTTCCACAAAAAGTAAAAAATACTGAATCATAATGAAACTGATTGTGATTAAACTATTAGTATTTTACCAGGTAAGGCCGACTGAGCTATATAGCTCTTTTTCAAAAGCGGCCTGGCCACATAATATATGGAAATGTATAGCCTTCAAATACTCTAAACAGCCTTCAAATACTCTTCTAAACGTGGAGGGAAAAACCAGAGAGCCCGGAGAAAAATACATGCGACCGCGGGGAGAACATGCAAACTCAAAATACGCAGGCGTCAGGGTCGAGATCGATCCCACAACCTCCTGTATACCAGGCGAGGTAGTTAACATCTCGCCACCGCGGCTCCCTGCATTCTTTGCTTCTCCCCCCCCACCCCCCGTATCCCCTGTCCATGCCATCGCTGTGTCCCCTCGGCCAGCGAGGAGTGGGAGGAGTGCGCGAGGCGGGAGGCGCTGGAGGAGACGGGACTGCGCGTCTGCGACGTGCGCTTCTCCACCGTCGTCAACTCCGTGCGCCGCGACGAGGGCAGCCACTTCGTCACCATCTTCATGCGGGCCGCCGTGGACCTCGCGTTCCGGGCGGAGCCACAGAACGTCGAGCCACACAAGAATGAGGGTGAGGCGCGGGGGAAGTGGCCGGTGTGGCTCAGCGGTGCAGCGCCCCGTGCCGGCAGCTCTGAGATTCTGGGTTCGGTTCTAGGTTTAGCCACCCGTGAATAAGCCCAGTTCTCAATGGTAGTTAGTTTATGGTCTCAGCCTGGTCACCGTACATACATACGTTGCAGAATTCAGACTCAAGGACTCTAGGATATTTCCCGCACATCAGTCGGTAACTGTTTCCAGGTATTGTATGTTGAACTTCTTTCCCACCGTACGTAGCAAATCGGAGGTACAGCAGACCACCGTGGACTGCGGATTCTTAGATGAAGCTGGCTACGATGACCGTGATGGCATGGATGATGATGATGATGATGCTGGTGGTGCCGCTTCTTGGGTCATGCAGCTTGGGTGTGGACGCCCTGGGAGGAGCTGCCTCCGCCAAGTCAACTTTTCTGGGCCCTGGCCGTTGCCAAGCGGCAGGGGTACCACCCGTTTCGGCACGCAGAGGCAACGGCTGGAACGTGACCGCGAGCCTGGGCCACGCTGCGAATGGCGTTGGTTAAGAGTGGGGCCGCATGCATTCCAGTCCGGTAAGAAGAAAACAGACTTCCCACCAAGCTGAGGCCGAAATGCCAGGATACCGGCGAGATGAGCACCACCCATATAATATAACCGTTAAATGCACTGCGATAACGGCACGCAGCATGCAATGTATTTTAAATGCACTAGGAATGCATTTGCGAAGCGCACGTGTGTTAAATACACTCCCGAGTATGTTACGCGATATATGTATATTGAAATCATGAGAATACAATATAGAGTGCGCACGTGTATGTTAAGTGTAATCGAATAGCATGTATAATTTTATTTGGTGGGGGAAGGGGGGGGCTAATTATCTCTTGTAGATATTCTGCATTCTCATTCACGTAGAGCCGTTCATGACAACCCAATGCTGAATCAGGGCCTCGCCACACCCATGCGGGTTATTTGACCATACTTCACCATGCCGATCAGTACGGAAGCTGTGAAGGTAAACAGCATAGACCTGGGCGTATAGGGTATCGGACGATCAATAGATTTTTCTGCACTGCTATTTTCTGACCACCATGGATGGAGTGCCACGGCCTTTGGCAATGGTTCTTAACCTGTACTGCAGCCTTGCACCTCTTTGATTCTCAATCGTGCAAAAAAATTGCATGTTAATTAGTACATAAGTTTGATGAGACAAAGTAGTAATACTAACGTGCCCGTGCTTAATTTGTATCACGATTATTTACCTTCCAAAAAAGTCTGGCCATGTCTCGCACCCCCAGAAAGGGCATCTCGCACCACCAGGGGGTTGCGTGCATCCCAGGTTAAGAACCACTGGCCTATAGCAACATGCTACAACCCAAAAAACCTGTATTATGGATGCTGTGCTTGGTAGTCACCCATCCAGGCACTGGTCTAGCCTTATACCTGCTTAGCTTCTAATATTTGATGGGATCAGGTGCACTATAGGTAATTTGGTCAAAGGCCATATATACGTTCTATACAATAAAAATATATATGTAAAAACACCAGTTTATAAATATATGAAATGTCAAAACAAATTACACAACTTCTGAGTGGGGTGGTTTGCCCTATGAACTGGCTTCCACCATAGGAATGTGGCATTTTCATCACTTTTCAAAGCCACCTCTGCAGGTGAGCATTCCCCATTAAACAGAGGCAGCGGCTTGAGTGGCGGATGGCATTGTTTATAGTCGATAATAATTTCTAAAACTTACCTAATGAATTTTTAGGAGTATATGTGCCACGGCTTATTCAGGGCTTGTTCAAATGAGAAGAAAAAAAAATCACCCAGCATCATGAGCGTGTTTGTGAAATTGGGCATTCGACGAGTCTCTCTGTCAAAACGGAATGTTTTTAATGTGCATTCCATGATAAGTGTCATACATATTCTTAGCTCTTTCGGTAAAGTCACGTTGAAGGGAAACAATAAAATAATAAAATATATAAAACAATAAAAAATCTCACGACGTTTTGACCATAACACAAACGGTCGTCATCAGGTGTGTCGGTTTGCATAAATGTATTTATTTTTCAACGGTGTATTTATTTATTTATTTAAAAAACGTCAGCGCCTGCTCTAGACAAATTCTTCGACCACATCAATTCCATACACCCAGCCATCAGATTTACCATGGAAGTCGAAAAAGATGGCAAGCTACCTTTTTTGGATGTCCTAATTAAAAAAAGAGACCTGATGGTTCAATGAGCCACTCTGTCTACAGGAAAGCTACCCATACGGATGCTTATCTGAAACCGGATTCCCACCACCATCCATCACAGAAGAACTCTCTCATCAAGACTGTATCATAGAGCCCAATGCATATCCGACCAGGAACACATAGGCAGTGAACTCAAGCACGTACACCAAGCTCTTAAGGCTAATGGTTACTCCGACTATACAATCCGCAAAGCTATCACTCAAACCATGAAGAAGGACCCTCTTGAGGAGCCTTTCAAAACCATCACTTTACCCTACATTGCAGGGATCACAAAAAAGATCTCCAAAATCTTGAATAAACACAAGATCCAGGTCCGTTTCAACACATTACATAAAATCCGTGATCTGGTTCCGTCTGTAAAATATGTGATTCCGGACATACAGTACCCTGGTGTCTACAAACTAAGTTGCCTCTGTGGTAGTAGTTACATTGGAGAAACCAAACGCCATGTCTCGGACCACATTCGTGAACACAAAGCAGACCTTAAACACGGTAGGACCAACACCTCGGCCGTGGCAGATCATTGTTATAATTCAGTAGGCTCACATGACATTGACTTTTCCAAGACAGAGGTTCTTTGTAAGCCATCTGGCTACCATGAGAGATTCGTTCATGAGGCTATCCACATATACAAGCACAGAGACAATTTCAACCAAGAAGATGGATTCTGGCTTAGCAATCATTGGAAAGATTTGATAAACCATTTCAGGTCTTAATTGATTGTTCACGCTTACAGTGGCTTTCAGACAGCATACATTAATTTTTCGTCTCCCCCCTCCTCTTTTCAGAACATAGATGGACTAGTCCTTCTAAATAAACTGCCAAATCGCTGCGCGTGGCGCTGACGTTTTTTATAAATAAATACACCATTTAAAAATAAATAAATTTATGCAAACCGACACACCTGATGACGACCGTTTGTGTTATGGTCGAAACGTCGTGAGAATTTTTTTATATATATATTTTATTATTTTATTGTTTCCCTTCAACGTGACTTTACCGAAAGAGCTAAGAATATGAATTACTGCAGTCACGAAAGCATTAAATCAAAATTTAACCACCTCTACGGGGAGGGTTTTCACATAACTTTAAAATCCTTCAACAAACTCCGGGATAAAAAGGCTCAGCTGATCGAGTCTCTCACCTTTCTGAAGAGATGCCGCGACTCTGGGGTAATACCAATCGCATTTACACTGACCTCTGCTGCTGTAACTTCTTCTAATGCGAAACGAATTCTTTTCAAAACTAGCTTAGCTCTTATCTCAGAAAAAATCAGACTTATACGCACCGAACTAGATCAGTTAGACAAGACACTCTACAAATCACACTTATTATTGACGGCAACAATGTCCACATCGGATTGGGAACATGTAGACAATATGACTGCCTCTTCAGCTGCTACTATGTCGACCAAATGTAAGGACAACCTGATTTCCAAATTTAACCTCCTCTTCAACAAAAGACCGGACCCACACACCAAAAAGTTAGACGTTAACAAAGTCGTAATTAATCGCAGTAACAGTTCTATTTCCGATGGTCTGAAATCCGTTTTAGCTAAAGGTCTAAACTTTGCAGTCACACCTAAACACATACCAGTTAATGATATAATTACTCTTTGGTTCTATTGGGTAAAGTCACGTAGGTGAAAATAAAATAACAAAAAATCACGACGTTTCGGCCACAACACAAGCGGCCTTCATCAGGTGAAGGGACGAGACTGTCTGGAGGACAGCGCTGGAGTGGAAGAAGCCACGCTTAGATCACGACCTTTAAGCTGTGTAAGAAGAAAAAGACCACGCGCCTTGACAAAGGAATTAGCATATAATTTAGCATTGAAATGGCTCATTGAAATAGCTAAGTTAAAGTATACACATCCGCAGAGGTACCTCTTGACAAAGGAATTAGCGCTGGAGTGGAAGAAGCCACGCTTAGATCACGACCTTTAAGCTGTGTGAGAAGAAAAAGACCACGCGCCTTGACAAAGGAATTAGCATATAATTTAGCATTGAAATGGCTCATTGAAATAGCTAAGTTAAAGTATACACATCCGCAGAGGTACCCCTTGACAAAGGAATTAGCATCGAATTTAGCATTGAAATAGCTGAGTGATTAGCTTGTAACTGGTCACAGAAATAACTATGTTAAAGTTAGAGCATATACATTCACCGAGGCACCTAGTACAAATCAAACAGGAGAAATAAGCGAAACACAACCACGCTCAGACATCGGACCTGTGTGCGAGCAAACAAGGTGTTCTGACAAAGAAATTAGCATCAAAATTAGCATTTGATTGGCGGATTTTAGGAAAGAGGTGGTGTACGTGCCGGTGGACTCGCAGTTTGGCGCGGGGGGGGGGGGGGAAGGGGGGAGGGGGGAGTTTACCTATTGATGGTGTGAAAAGGGGGAATTTATAAGAGCTGCGAAAGTTTGGGGTACCACTACTTGAAAAATATACTGTACCATTGAAATTAGTTTAATGTTTAGTTCGATTTAGAACATCTTTCCAATGGTTGTTTAATTTGAAACTATCCTCTCGGTTGAAATTGTGTCTGTGTTTGTAGATCTGAATTGCTTCATGAACAAATCTCTGATAAAAGCCTGTGGGTTTGCAAAGAACCTTGGTATCGGAGAAAATTATATCGTGATCCCCCACAGCGTTGCAACAGTGATCAGCCACGGCAGAAGAATTCGTTTTGCCGTGTTTCAAATCTGATTTGTGCTCGCGAATTCGGTCAGAGACATGTCGCTTTGTCTCACCGATGTAGCAATCACCGCAGGTACAACTCAATTTGTAAACCCCGGGGTACTGTAAATCAGGAATGACATCCTTCACGGATGGGATCAGATCATGAATTTTGTGTACTGTATTGAACCGGACCTGGATCTTGTGTTTGTTTAGAATTTTGGAAATCTTTTTTTAGTAACGCCTGCTATATATGGAAGTGTGATGGTTTTGACCGGAGTATCAAGTGGTTGTTTCTGTATGGAGGGAGAGACAGCTTGGCGGATGGTACGGTCAGAGTAACCATTCCTTTTGAGGGCCAGGTGTACATGTTTTAATTCACTGGTCAGGTGGTGTTGGTCCGAAATGTAATGAGCCCTATGGTATAAAGTTTTGATGAGAGAATTATTTTGGGCTGGGTGGTGGTGGGAATCAGGTTTCAAGTATGAATCTGTGTGGGTGGGTTTCCTGTAGACAGAATGCCCCAATGAGCCATCAGGTCTCCTCTCAAACAGAACATCTAAGAATGGTAGCTTGCCATCTTTCTCCACTTCCATGGTGAATTTGATGGCGGGATGTCTGGAATTGATGTGGTGTAGGAAAAGGTTCAGAGCTGGGAGGCCATGTGGCCAAATGACGAAAGTGTCATCCACATATCTCTTCCACAGGGAAGGTCTGAGGGTGGAAGTCTGGATGGCGTCTGATTCAAATTTCTCCATGAAAATATTGGCTATCACTGGTGATAAGGGGGATCCCATGGGGGTACCCTCATTTTGTTTGTAGAAGGAGCCATTCCAAGTAAAGTAGGTATTGTTGAGGCAGTGCCTAACCAGTGCAGGTGTGTTGGGGTCTAGTCCATGTTGGACCAAATTGCCCAAGTAGATGTTGCTCTCAGGGGCCTCGGTCACATCGCTGCAGACGTAGCAAGATCTGAAATCGCTGCAACCCTCAAAAACGCTAAGATGCCAGCTAGCAACCTCAGCAAAGATGAGCGTTTTGAATTATATAAATTAAAAAAGATGATATTGTATTCCTCTCAGCTGACAAGGGCAATGCTGTCATCATAGATAAAATAGAATACAACAACAAAATTAAAGAATTACTCGACGATGGTAGTTATACAAAAATAAAAAGAGATCCCACCAACAGCCTCGTCACACAAACCAACAAAATAATTTCTGATTCAACCGCATTAATTGATCAATCTAAACAGTTTTCGTTGAAACCTTCTGCTGCCAGGCCACCAAGATTATATGGCTTACCAAAAATACATAAAGTAGATACACCCCTTCGTCCCATCGTCTCTACTATCAACTCCCCCACCTACAAACCGGCTCGTTTTTGTATGAAATCCTGCGTCCTTTCACTGGAAAAACCACCTCTGCGGTACAAAATTCTACTCACCTGGTGTCGACAATCAAGGGTATTTCCCTGTCCCCAGACGACCTGCTTGTCAGTTTTGATGTAGTTTCCTTATTCACCAAGGTTCCTGTACCTGACACCATCGCAATCATTGAAGACTTGGTTCATCAAGGACTAAACACTGAGGTACCCCCCCCTGGTGAGACACTGTTTAACCAATACATACTTCACTTGGAATGGAACTTTCTACAGAGGGCACCCCAATGGGCTCCCCCCTATCTCCGGTTATAGCTAACATTTTCATGGAGAAATTTGAGACTGACACCATCCAGACTGCCACTCTGCGCTTAACCTTATGGAAGAGGTACATGGATGACACTTTTGTCATCTGGCCACATGGCCGGCCTGCTCTAGACCAATTCTTCGACCACATCAATTCCATACACCCAGCCATCAGATTTACCATGGAAGTCGAAAAAGATGGCAAGCTACTTTTTTTGGATGTCCTAATTAAAAAGAGACCTGATGGTTCAATGAGCCACTCTGTCTACAGGAAAGCTACCCATACGGATGCTTATCTGAAACCGGATTCCCACCACCATCCATCACAGAAGAACTCTCTCATCAAGACTCTGTATCATAGAGCCCAATGCATATCCGACCAGGAACACATAGGCAGTGAACTCAAGCACGTACACCAAGCTCTTAAGGCTAATGGTTACTCCGACTATACAATCCGCAAAGCTATCACTCAAACCATGAAGGACCCTCTTGAGGAGCCTTTCAAAACCATCACTTTACCCTACATTGCGGGGATCACAAAAAAGATCTCCAAAATCTTGAATAAACACAAGATCCAGGTCCGTTGCAACACATTACATAAAATCCGTGATCTGGTTCCGTCTGTAAAAGATGTGATTCCGGACATACAGTACCCTGGTGTCTACAAACTAAGTTGCCTCTGTGGTAGTAGTTACATTGGAGAAACCAAACGCCATGTCTCGGACCGCATTTGTGAACACAAAGCAGACCTTAAACACGGTAGGACCAACACCTCGGCTGTGGCAGATCATTGATATAATTCAGTAGGCTCACATGACATTGACTTTTCCAAGACAGAGGTTCTTTGTAAGCCATCTGGCTACCATGAGAGATTCGTTCATGAGGCTATCCACATATACAAGCACAGAGACAAACCATTTCAGGTCTTAATTGATTGTTCACGCTTAGTGGCTTTCAGACGGCATACATTAATTTTTCGTCTCCCCCCTCCTCTTTTCAGAACATAGATGGACTAGTCCTTCTAAATAAACTGCCAAATCGCTGTGCGTGGCGCTGACGTTTTTTTTATAAATAAATACACCGTTTAAAAATAAATAAATTTATGCAAACCGACACACCTGATGACGACCGTTTGTGTTATAGTCGAAATGTCGTGAGAATTTTTATTGTTTTATATTTTATTGTTTCCCTTCAACGTGACTTTACCGAAAGAGCTAAGAATATGAATTACTGCAGTCACGAAAGCTTTAAATCAAAAGTGTCATACATGTTTAGATCTTATTTACACAAACATATCATCACGGTATATTTTTCAGATCAAACTATCATTCTTAAAAAAAAGTTATAAAACCCTACACAAAACCCCTTGTCCTTTAAATACTTAAGACATGTTATCTCGGGCTGTAGAATATTTCAGACATGAGAAACACTAAAGTTTAAAGTCTGACAACATGGCAACAGCTGACCCCCCCTCCTCCCCTAGAGCCAGTGCTCTCATTGGTCCATTTGTAAAAAAAAAAATAACTTACATTGCTGCAAGTGACATCTATCGTACACTTTTTAAAGTCACTTTTTGATATATATTTTTTTACTTCCAAGTTTTCGTCATACACAATCTGACACACACAGGCTACTTATCTTCAAAAAGAGTGATTTGCTATTTGGGCCGTCTTCCTTGAGAATTCAATTTAAATTAACGTTGGACCATGTTTTCCGTTCTCACAACAAATAAACGATCCTAACGGTGTAATAATTCTACCACCACCATTCGTCATGTACTGCGCCCTTCCCGTGCACCGCATATTGAGGGCACGTGTCTTGCAAACTGCAGGGTAAGAGGAGAAACGCCCAGCAGTGTTGCAAAACCCACACCAGTAACTTGAGTTTCCATGAGAAAGGCAACTCGAGTTGACTCAAAACTGGCCGGAGTTGAACAAATTTCTCTCAGAACTCGAGCTGAAGGACAACTTGAGTCGGCTGACACATGGGCATTTCCACAAGTTGCTCCTGTTATCACACGAGTTGGGCACATCCTTGCCAGAAACAGGTCCTCGTGACACTTTCCCAAGAAATACCCGAATCGAATGTCACAACTGGGTTGTTGACAAAAAATGTAACATCGCGATACGTAACTTCTAACGGTAAAACCAAACGCTATCGCCATTCACTCCCATTTCGATTGCACCGTGGACTGCTGATGTGTTTCCGCTCGGCCAGAAAGCTGACGTAGGGAAACCCGGGCCGACCCGTGAAGCGAAAATCGGGCCAGGGAAAATGTTGGGTTGTATCTTGAATTCAAGGCCATCTAGAAATGTGTAAACGCGCTGCTTGCAGCGGCAAATCGAATTCAAACTTGAGTTAAGCGTCTCATGAAAACTCGATAGAGGGGCGTGGGCGCACCTGAAAGAAAGTGCAAGACCACGAACCAAAACATGAGTACTAGGAGGCCAGTAGTTTGGCAGTTCAGTAAGTAGGTAGGTTTTTTCTCAAGACATCTGGCTTTCTCCAAAATGATAAAAGTCAAACATACCAAGCAATATCACCATGAACAAAGTGTAATTAAAGAAGGCTTCCTGAATAAAGATCATTATTATCCATATTGGATAAATTGTTTATTGAGAGGTGATGCCAATACAAATTGTTTTGCCAATACAATTTGTATTGGCGTCAACCAGTTGGCAAATTGGACAGTGTGTGTGTGGGCAACTGGGATAGGTGGGTGGGTGAATGAGAGTGCAGCTGCAGAGTCGGGCAAGGGTACAGATGGGCGAGCGGGCAGATCGAACAGAAGGTGGGCATGGAATAATTTGCCCCTGCGTGTAAATCGTAATAATTCAGGACCACAACACGATACAAGAGAACGCAGTATTTTGTTTTTGCATTATCTGCTCATATGCCGTCTCGTATGATCCGTGAAACTCAACGTGACGGCATCATTTGCGTGCGATTCGCAAAACATCGTTCAGTGATCGATCGTGGCACGCACCATTGGATGCACGCCCGGTGAGAATAAGAATACATTTTAACCGCCAAGGCCGTGACATGCCGAACATGTGGGTAAGCGGTCGGGCTAGGTGAAGGGGTCGACAACCAAAATAATATGGAGAGCCATTTTTTTCGAATTTTATACAAAACTCTATTTCAAGAACCGCAATGCATGTGAATACATTCATACATTACGCCACAAAGCAGTCTCTAAAGAGCTGCATGCGGCTACGGAGCCACAGGTTGCCAACCCCTGGGTTAGTGAGTGGGTGGGCAATTGCGTTGGCGGGTAGGTTAAGTGGATGGGTGGGCAAGCGGGTGGATGGGGTTGTGCGGGAGGGGTGCGAGACTGGTGAAAGATCTGTGTGGGCCGGTAGGCAAGTTGAGCGTTTGCACGGCGGTGGCGACGTCGGCGCTTCACGCGTTATCGTAGTCGTCGTCGTCCTCCTCGTGCTTGCGCTTGAGAGGGTTCGTGTCCGAGCTGCCCGCCTGCGCCTGCTGCTGCTGCTGCTGCTGCTGCGACGGCTGCAGAGGGGAGTGCGTGAATGAGGCGCCGGCGCTGCTCGTAGTGATCAGGATGTTCTTGCCGGCCGCCACGAGCGATGGCGCGTTGATGAGCACGCTCTGCACCGCCGTGCTGATCGGCGTGGCTGGACATACCGGGAAAGAGAACAACATTTATGAAATATCAAAATGTGTCAATATGGGTTATAAGTTATGATTGTTTTTGTTTTCCTACATTGGTACTGTTGGCATTTAATTTAAAACATTTAGCACGATCTCAAAGAATTACCCAACGACCGAATGAGGAACACTTTTATAACAACTCATGCAAAAGAAAGGTGCAGAGATGAGACGCTGGTGAACAAGTTTGTCATTGGGAGTATGGAATGATGGAGGTGAACATCTGTTATGGATTCACAGCCAGCGAAGCCACGAAAATAATTAACGTATTTTCCGAATAAGACGGACTCTAGGGAAATAAGACGTGGAGGGAGGCCCAAAAGGTGAAAACGGCAGCCACTGGGCCGGCACTGGTCATGAAAACGAGGCATCAGCCGTCTCCCTTGGTGCCTTTGGATTAACTTCTGGAGTGCATTGATGTGCGGCGAGCGGGCGGGCGGGCGGGTGGGAGCTGAGCTCACATGGCTTGAGCGTGCTGGGAGTCGAGGGCAGCTGCAGCGTGATCCGCTGGCCGATGGAGACCGATGTGCCCACCTTGGTCGTCCCAGCCACACCCTGGGAGCTGCTGGCTCCTGTCAGAACAACAACAAACCCAACATATGTTCGCGATACAAATAACATCACAAGCTATACGTGGGATATAATCGGTGTTTCATGAACAGAATCGGGTTTTGTTGAGATTAGCAGATATACCAGGGCATCCCACCCCGGAATTAACCCGGTACTTCGAGGACACGCTACTCACATGAATGGTGTGTCCTCAAAGCTCCCCGAGCTGCATCGGCTTCCAGTTGCCGAACGAATAGATTATAAGATCGCACTCATTACACGCAAAGTGCTTTCCCCACAAATGCACCAAAATACCTCGTTGATGTCAAGTACCATAAACTATCAAGCAAACTACGGTCATTCTCGCAGCGACTTTCAGCTAGCCATCTAACAAAAACGGTCACCGCATTGCGCGCTTTCATATGCGTTTCTGCAGCCGTCTGGAATGTTCTTCCGATATTAGGAAGCCACTGGAGCTATGCACTTTTTAAATCTATATTGAGAACTAATTTCTTAAAAACTGCCTTTTGTGTATCGTTTGGTGTCCTTCCCCCACACCTGGCTACGTACGATGCGAAAGAAGTTCAACATAAATACATAAATGGCTCGGCAGGATTTTATATTGTAGAGTGGGGCATGTTGTTGTACCTGGGTAGATGTCTAAATGTATGTGGCTAGGTGTAGATCTGGACACAAGGCAAGGCTGCGTTGGCTGGGTCATGTAGCCCGCATGTCCAGCCACCGCACGCCCAAACAGATTTTGTTAGGCCGGATAGAGGGGGCTAAACGGGCATGGCACGGCCTCAAGAAGAGATCGAGTGAGCTGAGTGGACTCACCTAAAATTGGTACCAGCGGTGTCAAGATCGGCCTCTGTGGAGGAAGCTCGTAAAGGATGCTACTGGACAGTTGGAGGCAGTCGCCCTCCAACAACAATGGAGGACAGAGGAGAGATGCTCACAACAACGAGCGGAGCCCCGGATGGTTAAAACACAGCAAGCTGGCACAGTAGGCACACAGGTGGTACATCTGCCAGTCATCCCGCCTGGGTCTGTCAAGTGGATCTCCTGCCAGCCAGCCTTTGACACATCACGTGGCCTCGGAGTGCACCTAGCCTGGCACGAGCACCATGGTGACATCACCGCCACTTAATGGCGAATGGCGGTTGTTGTAGGTAGGTGTGGGAGTATGCGAGTAGGTGTGGGTACATGTGCCTTGACACTGCCTTTATAAGTGCTCGCGAACAGCACTTGCTCCAACGACCTGTGCAGGCTATATGGGGGGAACTTTCCTCTTTGTAGGTGTGGGTAATTTGACTCCTGCGACGCTTTACCCATGGTTGGAGTGGCTGGGCGGCTGGTCACGCTTGTGCCCACACTCAGCCGAGGGATGGTGATTCTTCCGGGGGGCGGCTGAGACTGCAGTGACGGGGGGGCAAACCAAACAACACAAGGTCAACAGGAACTTGATCTCAGCCGGTCCACCAGCTAAAATCTAGACCTACTTGGCTCAGGCTATGGGCATAATTAGTTGTATTGCCATTTTCAATTAATTCACTTGAGGTGTATACATTTAAATCACAAATGCAACTTGGTGCGATTATGTTGACCATTTTTTTTATTTAGCATCGAAGTGGCCTATGTCACATGTGGGAATTTATAGCAACAGCCCAATATTAACGAAAGTTTCTTAATGTGGAGTGCAAAATCAAAGGATCCGGCGAAAAATCCGCATGACCACACCAACTCCAAATATCGAGGCGTCAAGGTTGGGATCGAACACAAAACCTCCTGCATATCAGGCAAGGGAGATAACATTTTGCCACTGCGGCTTCCCATATAATTATGAGACAGCCTCATCGAAATAGCAATCACTTTTCTAAGACAACTTTGGGTGACCCATTACCTTCTTGGAGAGCGCCTTGAGCCGGTAATTGGGTGCAGTCAGGCAGTAGCGGTCAGGAGGCAGGCGAGGGCCCGCATACGGTTTGATGAGCGGCAGAGGCGTCTGATTTTTCTGCCGCGCAATCTCCAGCAAAAACTGGCACAGACGACGGGAATGTCCCAAAACACCAGTCATTCTCTGTTGGTTCTTGTCCAATTTTTTTTTATGTTTCCTAAATATTATTACAATTGTGATATCGGAATCACGTCATGGAACAAAGAATCCACCTGGATCGCTGTCTGAGCAGTGCAATCTTTTGTGATTAAGCTCGTGGAAGCAGACATCATACAACTACTTCTGAGATCCCTGCAAGTGATCCCTGGTCTACACATTTTTATCCCGCCACATAAAACCAAACAAGGCTGCAGCATTGGTTCAATGCAAGCATACTCTTGACCGTTTTAGATAATTATTTGATTGTTTTGTGTCAGTTTTGTTTATGTACTGGGCTGCCAGACTGAGTTTTAAGCTTTGTTAGTGAGAAAACCATTTCTTTTAAATCATGGTCAGGTACTCAATGACAGAACTTTAATAACTACACTGGCTTCGTATTCAAATGTATGAGAGTGATATCACGCTGATGACACAAGAGTGATACAATTCCGTGCTTGATCATATCTTTAAAGTCTTTTTTCTTTCATTGAATATTGCACGACAGATTTTTCATCCAGCAGTGGACAGATCCTTGGCCAATTATGATGAAACAGGTGGTGTGGCAAGACTAGTGAATGCTCTGTTGGGCTTTCATTTGTGGTCAGGTAGCTTCTGAAAAAGAAGCTAATAGCTCAGTGGGTTTTACCTGGCAAGATACAACATAGTTTAGTTTGATTTGTATATTTTTTCAAGTGATTAGTTTACCTTTCTTATACTTTGCACTCCTATCGTGTTTTTTGTATTGTTTGTTGTTGTAGCGTTCTGACCTGCCCCTCCTGGACATCTGTGAAAAAGAGCTTTATAACTCATCAGATTCCTCAAGTATAAATATTCTGATTTGTTCATCTTGCAGTGGAGAGTTTGTAGTTGGCGGTGATCGAAGAAATGGGCACCATGTCCTGTAGCTCACGTCTCTGGGTGGCGGCGAAGTAAAGGAGTGGTCCATGCGACACTGGATTGCCAATTTGATGTCATCCATGTCGATGCTCGTTTTCTTGGCATGCGCGGAATAGACCCTCGCTTCATCCAGAATCCCCGTCACATACCCTGGTGAGAGGTGGACAAGACCGAGGGCACTCGTCAAAAAGGCTTCTCGGGTTGCTTTACCCAGTTGACATAATTATAGTTTTCAAGAAATATAAAGGGTGCGTCCTAAAAAAAATTACACTTCTGAGAATTTGCAACAACTCCACAAGAAATGTGCTGCCTCCAGGCTCTGGAGACCACCTGGAGAAGATTCCACGCATGTTGACAATGATGGCGGACAAGTGGATACTCTTGACTTTTTGAAGCTGTTAACATGCATTTGTTATCATGTGACAGCAAATTATCCGTTCCTTTTCCATTATAAACGATAGTCCCATGTAAGTGTTGACATTTTTTTTGAAGCACACTGTATATTTTGCTTGGGTTTGGCTCCATGATCTAAGTGATGCTAGCGCAAGGTCTTACCTCAGCCAAATGTGACCACTTCCAAAATGCATTATTTTAATTATTCTCGATTAGGATTCATTAAAAATACTGTCCAAAGTCAGTTAATTTAAATATTATATCTAGGTATGTAACATATAGGCAGCAGCATAATTACGAATGCTAAATTAAAGAAATAGGAATTCAGCGATGTTAACAATTAATCAGTTAACATAAATTAATATGCATACATAAAATGGTTACGTTTACAAACGAAACATAGGTTAATGTAGAAAATGCAACTGTACAAACGAGTCATAAGAAATGAAAAAAAACGCAAAGTAGACTGGAGAAAAAACTTCAAAAATAATTACTCTTGAATCACAGTCCTGAATGGTGGAAATTCACGAAATCGGTGGGAATGTGAAAGCATTGCATGCTGAACAGAGCCAGAACTTAAATCTTCCCGAGGGGGCTCTACGTTAATAATACACAAATAATGTTCACTGCTCGGATAAATATCAATACATCAATTTAATGGTCTATAGTGCGTGGCAGGGGGGGGGCAGTAGCCCCCTTTGATCCGCGAGATGCCTAGAAAGTAGCATATTGACCTTATGGGATGCACGTTAACCAAATCACTGTATCCAATCAACGTTTTGCAAGCAGCCGCACGTGATCGGTACTGAAAGGATATAGTGAAGTTCACTTGCCCTCCACTAACATCATCGCCGATCGTGTGACGAGAGGAGTCATAAGGGGAAGCCCAGCATTGCCGAGCTAAGTGGACTTTTACCTGGTAAGAGATTATAAAAAAAACATTGTTTAGTTGTATTCGTATATTTTCGTAAGCAACGCGTTTACTCCGATCGTGTGTTTTTTCTACTGTCGTCACGTTCTGACCCCAGGCTGGACGTCTGTGAAAGGGAGCTTTATATCTCATCGGATTTCCCACCCTTCCCCGTATAACTACGGTATTCGGATTGTGAGTTGTAGGGCAAAGGTAGTCGCCACTCACGGTAGGTGAACTCCAGCATTTGGTTGATGACCCTGGGCTCGTACTCCGTGACGCCCATGTCCTTCAATATCGCCGCCATGACCTGCGAGACGCGGCCACATTCCATTTATAAACAAATGTCGAGAAGACGACGTGCCGCCGTGCGTAACATCCATCATCAGTCCTCGAACCGTGCCTATGCCTCGCTCATACACCTCGCTCGCTCCCTGTGGAGCACGAGGCCACAAAAACAAGCCCACGCCATGCCGACCGGACGCTCTTCGGCAGCTTTCTCTGCTTCATCCCCGCCCACCCCACCCCCAAGACGGCCCCCACGGGTCCTTTAAAAGTTTCGATTAAAAAGTTTGTCTTGAACGTTGTGGGGAGTTACTTCACCGTGCTGGGTCGGTTGTTCAGAGGGAGGGAGGTGCAGTGGCCGATATCATTCGCCGCTCGTGTTCGTCGCCGTGCCCAAGGGGGTCCCGCACACGACATTTGATGGGTGCACTGTGCTATTATAGACCCTCCCTCAGCATCGGCGTTTAATTACCGTTGCAAATGATTTATAATCCCCGTCGATTAAAAACGCAAGACTTACTGCACCGTCGTTGCCGGCTTCGTATCTGGGGAGGCCAGTTCACCCTGATGCTAACCATCGGAGCACTCTGGCTGCGCGCTTGCCCGCGACTTATAAGTATATATTTTATGCATACTTTGTTTTGTCCTTTGTTACAAAGCCTCAGAATTATTGTCTGGACCGACGCCGAGGCTCGGCCCGAGTTTTACGCACAGACGGAGCCATTGAATCGCGTTCTCGTTCTGGGCTCGGGTATTCCGATTGAGCGGGCGGGGCTCCCTTGTGTTTCTTTTTTTTAGAATATACGGCAAGCGTACGGTGCGTTTTTTTTATTTAAAGAGTTAAACATTTTAAATGCGAATAAAAATTTGTTCCCGAATCTCATACTTGCGCATCTTTGGGAGTACTCTTGGGCGCCGCCATCTTGTGACGGGTCAACGTCACCCGGCGGGGCGGGGGGGGCTTGATGGCGTCACCGCGGATCGGCAACAGCGGGGGGGGGGGGGGGCGCGTGATGACGTCCCCGCGGACCGGCAACAGCGGAGGGGTGGTTAGGGGGAACGCGTGATGACGTCACCGCGGATCAGCAACAGCGGGGGGCTGGTGAGGGGGGGCGCGTGATGACGTCACCGCGGATAGGCAACAGCGGGGGGGGGGGGCGGTGAGGGGGGGTGTGATAACGTCACCGCGGATCGGCAACAGCGGAGGGGTAGTGTGGGGGGGGGGCGCGTGATGACGTCACCGCGGATCGGCAACAGCGGGGGGGGTGAGGAGGGTGAAATGACGTCACATTTTGAAGGTCGTTGACTAAATTCCAGAGAGGCCTCGACTTACGAACGAGTTGGAGTTTCCCGAGATGTCTGTTTCCTAAGTGGATGCCCGTCTACCCCCCATTACGGTTTACCGCGTATTCTTGTACAAGGGGAAATTTGAGTTTTCGGGTCCATACGACGTACAGCCGTTTCAATGCGAGCAACGACAAAAACATGTTGTTTGTGTTTCTCCCTTGTGATGGGACTTTGTAGGATGAACTTTGAGATTTCTAAGGGTCACGGGGTGACCAATAAGCTCTGAATTTGTCTGTAATAAGGTAGGGCACTGATAAGGGGTTGACAGGTTTGTGTTCGTAAGTCCCAACTTTACTCCTTTCGATTCCAAACGTGTTGTACGGCATGTACACTAAACACGGGGAATGGCTTAAAAAGGTGTGTAATCTTCTGCAGATGTAGATGCCGCTGGTTCATATTCTGCAGATGTAGATTTCACTGGTTCTTCACGTTTTGCAGATGTGGATGCCACTGGTTCTTCATGTTCTGCAGATGTAGATGCCACTGGTTCTTCACGTTCTGCAGATGTAGATGCCATTGGTTCTTCACGTTCTGTAGATGTAGATGCCACTGGTTCTTCACATGTTGCAGATGTAGATGCCACTGGTTCTTCACGTTCTGCAGATGTAGATGCCACTAGTTGTTCATGTTCTGCAGATGTAGATGCCACTGGTTCTTCACGTTCTGCAGATGTAGATGCCACTGGTTGTTCATGTTCTGCAGATGTAGATGCCACTGGTTCTTCACGTTCTGCAGATGTGGATGCCACTGGTTCTTCATGTTCTGCAGATGTAGATGCCACTGGTTCTTCACGTTCTGCAGATGTAGATGCCAATGGTTCTTCACGTTCTGCAGATGTAGATGGCACTGGTTCTTCACGTTCTGAAGATGTAGATGCCGCTGGTTCATGTTCTGCAGATGTAGATGCCACTGGTTCTTCATGTTCTGCAGATGTAGATGCCACTGGTTCTTCATGTTCTGCAGATGTAGATGCCACTGGTTCTTCACGTTATGCAGATGTAGATGCCACTGGTTGTTCATGTTCTGCAGATGTAGATGCCACTGGTTCTTCACTTTCTGCAGATGTAGATGCCACTGGTTCTTCACGTTCTGCAGATGTAGATGCCACTGGTTCCTCATGTTCTGCAGATGTAGATGCCACTGGTTCTTCACGTTATGCAGATGTAGATGCCACTGGTTCTTCACGTTCTGCAGATGTAGATACCACTGGTTCCTCATGTTCTGCAGATGTAGATGCCACTGGTTCTTCACGTTCTGCAGATGTATATGCCACTAGTTCCTCATGTTCTGCAGATGTAGATGCCACTGGTTCATGGTCTGCAGATGTCGATTCCACTTGTTCTTCACGTTCTGCAGGTATAGATGCCACTAATTCTTCATATGTGCGTAAGTAAAGGGGTCCCTGTAATTGGCACCCGTTGTAGGTCTTATAATACAAATTAGTTTATTTGGTAAATACTTTTTGATTATTCATTAGTCTGTTAATAGCTTCCAACATAAGTAATCATATTCCTCTTTAAAGAACAAACTGTTAAAGACAATTTAAAAATATTTATCAGCAGAGGCCATGGTGTAAAGTGCATTCTCCAAATTTTATCCTATGAAAAAAAAGATAATTGCTCGAAATGTCGACTTATTGTTTCGCCTTTGAAGGCCAGTGTCATTGGTGAACGTGTTGCGATTTTTAAAATATATTTTAGAATCATGATTTGAAGCTTTCGTGACTGCAGGAATCCATACTCTTTGGTTATTTCGGTAAAGTCACGTAGGTAGAAAGATAAAACAAAATAAAAATAATTTATCACGGCTTTCAATCTATTTTTTTATTTTTCTACCTACGTGACTTTACCGAAATAACCAGAGAGTATATTTTAGAAATTGACAGATACCCCTTATAGCCTGAACTGTTGGGGCAAGTGCTGTTCCACGAGTAGTACCTATGAAGGCCAGTACGGCACACAACGGGGTGGGTGGCCAGCACCACGCCCGACCACCTTTGTCTCCCCATTGGCGATTTGTACACACCACACCCAGATACTCATTTGAGGCTGAGTCGACCTAGGGGAAGAGGCCCATGACCGGTTCAGACAATTGTCAATGGTGTTGGGCATAACAAGCAGAAATTTAACCCAGGTCACCGGGTTCATAGCATAGTGCACTAACCGCTACACAACCCATCACCCCACAAGGCCTCCATGAGTTCGCCAGCATTGGATTGTCACCCTGACTGATAATTCACTATGTAACACGATTTTTGTTCCTGGGTAGTGTTATTTTCGAATTGCTTATGCCTCAAAGTTATAGAAAATGGCTATTATTATTCCCCACAAACTTTGCTTTTGTGACCAGGACTTTATGTGAAGGAATGACACAAATGCACATGTTTTCTCATTGAAAATAGGTACATTTTAAAATATCACTATCCTGGTCACAAAAGCAAAGTTTGTGGGGAATAATAACCACCTTCTGTACTTTTGAGGCATAAGCAATTGGAAAATAACACTTACCACCCAGTAACATTTTTTTTTTATTTGTTAGTGCTATTAATGGAGTGGATTATTAACTTTGCTTTTGTGTCCTGGTCACAAAAGCAAAGTTTGTGGGGAATAATAGCCATGTTCTGTACTTTTGAGGCATAAGCAATTGGAAAATAACACTTCCTACCCAGCAACATTTTTTTGTTCCAGTGTATAATTATACTTTAGACTTTTAAAGCACCGCACAGTACTCATTCGTAAAGAGACTCAAGTGGGGAAGAACCACCTGACCATCAGTCAGGCAGCAGCCATGCAGTGGAGCAGGCACCAACAGCAGCCCAAGCTCTGCAGTTCTCTCCGTACCAAGATGTTTTCAGCCAATTTAATGACACCGGAGCACTCGGAAAACCCACGAGCGCGAGGTTGGGACAATGCTTCCTACATGTGTATCCCTGTACAGACGGAAATGGGATGGAATTAAATTCACACCCAGTACTGCCATCTCTCGGTAAGCCAAGATATTGAATAAACACACTACCTCCTCTTTAGGTCTTTAGGTAAAGTCACGTAGATAGAAAAATAATCAAATACAAAATCACGACGTTTTGATTGCAACACAAGCAATCGTCTTCAGGTGAAAAAAAACAGCAGGCAGACTGCTGAGGCAGGAAGAAATAATTATTTTTGAAAAAATACCTGCTGTATTGTTTCACCTGAAGACGATTGCTTCTGTTGCGATCGAAACGTCGTGATTTTGTATTTGATTATTTTTCTATCTACGTGACTTTACCGAAAGACCCAAAGAGTATTAATTCCTGCAGTCACGAAAGCTTTAAGTCAAAACAATACCTGCATAGCAAGTAATTCCCACACTCCACACGGTAAAATAAAATGAAACTTTATTGTAAATATGCATGTCAAATACATTTTTACAAAACGTTTCATCAAGTGAGCCACATTTAACCGATGTTTTTTTTTTACACCTTCAATATTTCTTTAAATAATTGGCTCATGAAAAAGAATATTCTTTGAACATAAAAAATATTACATTTGATTCGATGCTATACAATGAGGGGTGCCTGTTTAAAAGAATCACTGTTTCGGACCAACACAAACCGACACTGAATTCTCTAACATTAGAACATGTAGAAATCAATACCACAGTCAACAATTACATATTTTGTACCCAAGCCCTATTGGTTTTTTTACTGTACATTCAAATGCTAACAGAACTTTATTTAACTTTTGTTATATTACAAAGATTACAGTAAAGTTACTCAAATGGTTTGGAGTGAAAGTAACGAAGACGACAGAGGTTCGGACACGTTGCAAGAGTGAGCCCGAACAGATACCCATACTTGGCTATGCACACAAAGTAGGGGACGATGGAAAACCAGGTGGTGGATGCATTCGGTGGTAAAATTTATTAAATAACTTGAGGCTAAAGTAAACCACGGAGGAAATTCGTTATGCCCCACCATCACTAAATGAGCCGCTAACAGAAGTATCACGTCTCCCCACACTGCAGTCCATGGTTCGACTTTGAGATGTCTCATTCACGGCCAAATTAGTTTAGTCCGAGTCCGAGCTGCTGCTGGATGAGTCCGTGGACATGGCCTCCACCTCGTCCTCATTCTCTTTGTTGTGTCCCGGGAGCTCCAGAGAAAAGTCCGTTCCAGGAGTTGGCATGAGCCCCACAGAGAGCTCTCCGCTCGTCTGCCAGGTGCTGGGGTACTGTGGTGCCAAGATATCTGCAATGCAACATATGCCACGGTTGTTAAAAGATCATACGTGGAAATACAAACTGGATTCCCCTTGAAAAATACTTATTGGTCTCGGTCGCCTCCTTGATAAATACGTGCCCTATATGACCACCCACCTAAAACTGTGTAAAGACAGAAGTGCCTTCAAATATTTGAATAAACCCGACATACTAAAACCCACAGGACAAATCAATGGCACATTAGTTATTGCTCTACACTGAACTTAACAACCCGAGTTTAAATACAGATAACAGCTAACATTAGTGGAGTGACATCTGCACCAGTCCGTTCGCCAACCCTCGCTAACCTACGTGGTGAAGTTTGAGCTAACAACTCCCACGAATTACATGTGATGGTGGGGGGGGACTTTATCCAGCAGTGCATTGACAATGGATTGAAA